CTTCTCACATATGTACCATTTTTTATTTTTTTAAATTATGGTAGATGCAGAATTGGTCTAAGAAAGGATTAGGAATCCTACTACCATGTTCAAATGAGATTATCCATTTAAAATAAATATTGAAAGTGCTTCTGAAATCACAATAAGGTTTAAAATAAAAACCAATATGTATTTATAAATATATGTATATCCAGAAATTTTATTATTTCTAGAAACCTAAAACTAGGTCTTAAACACATGGCTTGTTACAAAAAAAAATTACCACTATTCCTCTTAATTCTCACAAAGCTTTTCAGAGAAAAACACATACACTCGTATTTGCAAATTACTCAAAATAATGTTCTCCTCCATTCTGCTGGATTCTGAGACAATCCAGGTTCTTTGGATTCCACCTTCCAATCCAATTTCTCTGCACTAAGTCTGTTCTCCACAATGAACTGTTGAATTACAGACTATTCTCATGGCTTTGGTGAACACAAAGATGATGCTGGGTGTAGGATGGGATGCAGACAAACAAAGTATCACTAGAAACATGGAAACACAGGGCGATGAAGCAGAGAAACACTCCTCAAAGGGGGCCTGAGTGAGCCTTTACTTACATGGTAACATAAAATGATACCCAAAATGCAAATGAACACGTCTTAACCAAGCAAATTAACAAGAAATCAGTGAGCTCTGTTTGAGTTGTTCTGACAATATAAAGAGCAACATACACTAAAGTGTAGCCATTCTCATGGAACATATCCAGTGGATAATATAAATAACTAGAGACCTGGTGCATAAAATTCATGAAGGGGGGGGGTGTCCCTCAGCCCGGCCCGCACCCTCTCACAATCTGGGACCCCTCAGGTAGGGTTCCTAGGCCTGGTTGGCGATCAGGGCCTATCAGGGCTTTCCTTCCCCATGCTGCTAGCAGCTGGCCTCACCCCCACCACTGCCACTGCTTGCCATCTTTGTGGCACTGCCCCCTCCACCCCAAACCAGTCACCTCCCTCTGCAGGCAACAGGCGTGGGGTGCAATCGCTTGGTTGGTCTGGGCCTCCCTCTGCGGGGCGATCACTGGCCGGCCCCACACACCTGCCACAACACCGCTGGCCAGTGGGCTGGGCCTCCCTTTGCGGGCTGATCAATCGCGGGGCCCCCAGATTTATTGCCCCGCAGAGGGAGGCCCTGCCCACCAGGACTGGGCTCCGCGATAAATGGCCACACAGAGGGTGATCTGGGCCTCCCTCTTTGAAGCGATTGATTGCAGAGCCCCCCATAAATCGCCCTGCAGAGGATGGCCTCTGTGGGGCAATTGTGGGGTGATGGCGGGGCCCCCTGATCAATCGCATCGCACCTGCCTTGGCTGGCCTGGCACCAGCGTGTGTCATAGCATGGTTGTCCAGAATGTTGTCTGGATGGTTGTTCTGCTGTTCGGTCATTCAGTCAATTTGCATATTACACTTTTATTATTATGGACTAGAGGACCGGTGCACGACATTCATGCATGGGAGGGGTCCCTCAGCCCAGCCTGCAACTATGCCAGTGTCCCCCGCCCAGGCCTCTGGTCCGAGGCCCCTCCCCTCCCTCCACGTGGCTGGGGCCCCTCCCATCCCCTCACTCTGTGCAGCTGGGCGAACGCTGGGCTCGAGTTGCTGGGGTGATGCTGCCAGTGTCTCGCCCCGTCTATTATGGGTGCCACCATCTTTGTCATGGAGTGACAGTTAATTTACATATTACTCTTTTATTAGATAGGATGATTTTAAAGCAGAATATCTTTACATTTGGAGTTGGAGGATGACAGTGAGATTCTTTATTCTATAGTCCAGAACACAAGAGTTACAATAGTTACAGTCCATTGCTGGAAGCCCTGGCCACTGTTCATATTTACCTCAGTGGGTGGGATGGTCCAACCTCAAAATAAAGGGTTCTAGCATCCAGGACCCTCTTTTACTTCCTAATGGGCCTCCATGTGCAATACAGCCATCTCCTTTAAGATGCCTTATTCTAGGCCCAGTTCTTTGGTCTTTTTTTTTTTTTAATCATTATTGTTTAAAGTATTACACTTGTCCCCTTTGTCCCTCACTGACCCTTCCCACCCCACTTCCTTGCCCACCCAGGCCTTCTTCACACTATTGTCTGTGCCCAGGGGCTATGCATATTACGCATATAAATTCTCTGAGATTCATCAGTCTTGTTCCATGCTTCCATGTCTCTGGATCTAGTCTGGTTTTAAAGCTTCTCTCTTGCAAGGTGCCACTTTTAAAGTATTACATTCTCATTTATAATGTGCAAAAACCCCTGTGGCTCACCAATCCCAGCCACATTCCCAACATTGATTGTTTCTTTTCAGTTGAGGGTGAGTCCACAGTTGTCCCCTGGTCATTGCTTCCTCCTTCCTCATCTGCTCATCCACTGAGCACCTGGCGCCCTCGGGTACTCCGGTGAGGAATTAAGGATGTGATAGGAAGGGATGAATGAGGTCAGGTTAGCGCAGCAGCTGCAAATAATCCAACCTGATAAGGACACGGAGCCAGACTGTGGGCGCTGTTTTCATCCTGCTTGGCTGGCACCATTCCACCCTGCACACCAGGCCCAGGCAACCAGCAAGGCCCTTTTTTGACCGAGGACACACAGGCTCTGATGGAGTGCACAGCTACAGAGGGCATACACCCGAGCCGGGTCTGGCCCACAGATGTGATGTGTTTGGCCCTAACAGCGTTTTAAAAATAATCAGATCAGTTGCCAACATGTAGACCTTGGGTGATTTCACATTGAATTCTGGACTTCTGGCTTCACTTTAAAAATATCTGAAGCTGTGGCAGCACAGGTCTGCATTCTGCATGACGAGAGTTGGCGTCAGCGGAGCTGCAGCTGCCCTACCTGGCCAAGGAGGCCTCTCTCCAGTCCACCAGCCCCTCCCATCTGCTTTCCTCCTAGACAGGCCCTGCCTGGCCTTGGGGGCATTTGAGTATAGGACCTTTCAAAGGAATTCAGTATTAAACAATAAGCATCCCCCTCCTCCTGCTTTGTTTCTTATTGGTGCCTCTTGCCAGTAATGTTTACTTCATTTGTACTTTAAGACCGTTTTAAATTCTCATACCACAATAAAATAAAATTTCTTACAAATTAACTACCAGCATGTTACAATTTGTGCTTTTACAGGGCCTTCGTTCTATCTCATAGTATTAGAAAAAGAAAACCTTCAGGAACATAATAAAGTGTTACAAAGTGGAGGTTGTGTCTCCCTCCTTTTAACAACTAGAGGAAGGAAGGGATCATGCCTGTGATTGGCACTGTGGGTTTACATGGCGCCACTTCCCTGTTGCTGTGAGTAGAGGGGAAGCTGTGTGCCAAGTGCAAGCCCCAAAAAAGACCGAAGCCGTCCTTCCTCTGGCCAGACCAGCAGCTTGGATGCAAGAGAACCAACCTTATTCAAGGCCAAGAAGAGTGGGTTCACGCCTATGTGAAAATATTTTCAGCCTCCCCAGAAAGAGCAGTGCAGCTTAAAACGGTTTACATGAGATTTCATTACTGCGCGTCATAGTTGGCTTTGGGCTGCTTGGGATCCCAGGACCCAGTCATTTGTGAATTTGTGCTGCACCCCACCCTCTCAGCCCTGGCCCTACAAGCTGCAGTCTGTCCTCCCAGGTTCCCTGAGGTCCCTGGGGCTTTCTTTTGTGTTGCTACCCCTACCACCCAACAGACCTTTCAGGAGGTCTGCCTGCTTTCAGTACCCATGAGTCCATTTCAGCTCAGCTTTTAATTGCTC